TTATATTAACTGATGACGTTTCGAGCACAAATTATTGCTCATAATCATATCAAGTTACTCACACAACTTCTTTCCTTCATTTATATACATGTGTGGAATCGATTAGATATTGGAATAAAATTCAATATGAGATAATGTACATTCATTGTTTACTTTATTTATGGTAAATCACATCTTATAATGGTCGTAAAATCTCATTATGCCGGGGGGAATGTAGATGAATTTCACATGCTCTCATACCTCTTAGCCGACTATGCTATATCCAACCAAATTCGCTACTTGCGATTTACACAGTTGCCAGACTGAGAAGTATGTAGGTGGTACGTATGGAGTCTTCTACGGTTTTGCTCAGATAATCATCTGTTCCTAGTCAGCACTAACCCAGCCACAAAGAGAGGCACTGCGTAACCTGGCCACCTCCATCACTAAATCAACGTTGGACTCAGATAGACCACATAGCGATAGGGTATCACTGGCCAAGGTCAGTAGAAGACTGCCGCTCTTTTTGGAACACGTGCGTAGACTCTGATCACGCTCTGGTTCACGCACATTTATGCTTTCAACTAAACGGACATAAAAAATTGACGGCATCGAAACAATTACGTCCCCAACTAGATCGAGACACTGAATCCCTATTTAAGGAAGAAATAGCGAAACGAGTGTCTGAGGTCGACAGCAGGACTTCCCCCAAGGTAGCCTGGCACAACGTACAGCTAGCTGTTGACACAGCTGTAAAAGCGGTTAATAAGCTAAAACTAAAAGTTAGCAAGAGCCATTGGATCTCTACCATTTCATCCGGACTGATTGGCGCAAGAAGACTGATTCCGGTGAGCTCCGATTATGATGAAGAGCGAAAGCTACTCAAACGAAAGCTAACAAGAAGCTTTCGTAACGACCATGGACAGTGGTGGGCGATAAAAGCTAAAGAGATGGAAAAGGCATCGGCGATTGGTAACACCAGACAACTATTTAGACTTATTAAGGAAACAGGTGGTAAAAGGCAAATGATAAATGAAACCATCTCTGAGAAAAATGGCACCATAATTAGGTCCCAGGATGGACGACTGGAACGCTGGAAAGAACACTTTGAGGAGCTGTTTAATTGGCCTACAGCTACACTCAACTTACCGAACATCCAACACCTCCCTGAATGGGATATAGACACAGGTCCTCCGTCCCTAACTGAGGTTACTAAGGCTGTCACTAGTCTGAAACGAGGCAAAGCAGCAGGACCTGATGGAATGACTCCAGAGGTATTTAAGTACGGTGGAGACAGTTTACTGTCTGGGTCAACTAAGGTACTAGGCAGCTTCTGGGAATCAGAGGAAGTCCCGTCGGGTTGGTGTGAGTCACTGATTATCCCCATATACAAGAAGGGAGACAAGTCTTCCTGTGATAATCACAGGGGGATTAGCTTGACTAATATGGTATCTAAAGTTCTAGGCTCAATAATCATGCGTAGACTAAGCGGTTCACGGGAGGAACAAACACGAGAGAACCAGGCAGGCTTTAGACTAGGAAGAGGGTGTATTGATGATATCTTCACCATTCGACAGATTTTCGAACATAGGCATACTTGCGGGGTCCAACAATCGTTATATTTCTTGACCTAAAGGCGGCATTCGATTCTGTCGACTGAGAGATACTATGGCGATGCTTGGCTGTAAAGGGAATGCTGAGAAAATACATTGCACTGATCAAGGCACTCTACTCGAACTCATGCAGACAGGTGAGAGCTTACGGCGAGTTGTCATCTGAACTGGTGACAACTAGTGGTGTTCGTCAGGGATGCCCACTATCCCTATTTCTGTTTAACTTCATCATAAATGTACTAATGGACTTAACCCTAACTAACTACAGAGATTCAGGGATTGACTTGTTACCGCCAGGGAATAATCTCGTTGACTTGGAATATTCAGATGATATAGTTCTTCTAGGTGAAGACGATGACAAAATGCAGAGACTTCTGAATGCCTTGAGCTGCAATCTGCGAATGTTTGGCATGCATTTCTCTCCCACCAAATGTAAGATGATGCTACAGGACTGGACTGGACTACATTGACTCCTAGCTTAGAAATAGGGAGAGAAGTGGTAGAGTGTGTTGACCTCTTTACTTATTTGGGAACCTGCATCAGCCAGTGCCAGCGCGTTGATCGCCGATGAAATCTCAGTACGGATACAGAAAGCAAGTTTCGCACATGCTAGTTTTTGCCGTCTCTGGTGTAGGCGTGATATCCGACTGGCTATCTACCAAAGGACGTGTGTACTGCTCATCAGTCCGCTCCGTCCTTCTTTATGGCTGTGAGACCTGGTCATTGAGAGTGGAAGACATGAAAAGGCTTTCTGTCTTTGATCATAGGTGCCTGCTTTGTATCTCCCGTGTGAGGTGGTGGTATAATAAAGTGATCAATATTGAGGTGAGGCATCGGTCGAGTGTTAGGTAAGGGGGGGGGGGAAATCAATAGATGACGCTGTTAAACTACACCGATTGAGATGGTTAGGACATACGTTACGTATGCCTAGTCATCGCCTTCCTCGACAATGGGCAATGTTAACTGACATAGGGTCAGGCTGGAAAAAAGCTAGCGGTGGTCAAACCAAACCATGGCACCAGTCAATGAGATCCACAACAGTTAGTTTAAGCCAGCCAGTCACGTAGGGTGGTGTAGACCGCCAAGTCAAGTCCTCGGGATTCTAAAAGCCATTGACTGGAGACAATTAATGATATGGCTCGAAATCGTTCTCACTGACAGCTGGCGTAGATGGATTCACTCTTTTTGATTTATCATATACAATAAAACCCTACTGTCCTTCTATATTACTATTCTTTTCCCCTCACTTACAATTCTGTGTATTATCTGTCTTTTGAAACTCTCTTTATTCTCTTCTCTTGCTTTGTGTTCTACAAGGACGGGGCGTGGCAACTCGAACTGCTTCATTTCAATGCGAAGTTTTTTTGTTGAAACCAGTCAGTCAGTTAATCATATTCAGTGTCTCATTTGTAGGATTTTCAGGGACTTAATTGACTTCAAGATAATCGTTATCGGTTTGTCAATGAAGCTTCCATTGGTTCTCCAGACCTTTTTAACCTGTTGATGATAGAGACAACCTTGAATTATTTTACTATTTAGCATGTGATATTTGGTTATCTTGTGGTGAGAGCTGGCTGTGAACAAGCCACAATTGTAGGCGGCGATTTACGTCAATTTTACGTCCCGAATCGGGGTCATGAGCAAAAAACACAATAACAAAGCTTAACCCTGGGGAACTCACCAACCAATCACAGCAAATAGGATTCGCAGATATATGGCTTAATTTTCTGTGAAACAGTTACAAGCAATACAGAATAATCTTGAGCTGAAAAGCAACCAATCAGAAGATGTTGCTTCTCCACTGACAATAATGCACATAAAAATGTATAAATATCTCTTATACAAGTATTGATTTGTAGGGATTTGGTTGATTGGTTACAAGATTTTATCATGAGCTGACATTAGTTAGAGAACCATTGGAAAACCTGGGAGTACTGGACAGCTGTTTCGTCCTAGTTTGGGACTCTTCATCAGAAGTTAGAATTCATGGGCCATTGGATCGGGTCCCAGTGGCTTAATGGTATACAAGCTCGCCTTGTAACCAGAAGGTCCTGGGTTCGAACCCTGGTGGGTGCGTACTGATGAAGAGTCCCAAACTAGGACGAAACAGATGTCCAGTACTCCCAGGTGGTTTTCCAATGGTTCTCTAACCAATGTCAGCTAAAGATGAGATCCTGTAACCAAATATCTCTTAATTTTTTCAATATACAATCTGTTGCGCAGCCTTTGTCTTCTGTCGTTACAATCTAAGCAGTATTTAACAAACATGACGAAGCTGAATTCAAATGTCTAAGGCAGTAAACGAAAGTTACACACTTTGTAGACGTTGGATTGTGAATTGTAAAGTACCGCAATATTAGTCCGACGTGCTCACTCTTACTACACAGTTTAAATACAAATCAACGTTATAATAGTGGTCATTTCTCTTTGAATGACTTATTCAATTGAAATTCATCTATCTATCTATCAATTTATCTATTTTTTCTGCTTCAGAGTCGAATCTGTTGATGAGAAAGTGAAACCAGATGGTAAGTAACAAAGTGGTTATCCCATTTGATTTGGTTGTAACTTTTTTTAACTTTTAGCACATTAGATTATCTGGTATATATTGATATTTGTGGAGCAGTGGCCGACTATCTTACCAAGTCTATTTATTTTTGTATAATTAAGCAATAAAATATGGTCTACGTATTAATCGAGAATGATCACTTTTGTTATTAAATCAATAGTTGTGGATTGTGGATGCGGGGTGAAGTGGTGTCGTCAGAATTTCCTGGATTGTCAGTCAATCCAGTGTATAAGGAAACAAAAATCTTGTTTTAATATTATTGAAGGAGTTTGATGTTGAAATTTTAGGCTGAATAATCAATATGACTCCCCACCCATCTCCCCCTGATTAAATGTTACTTCTCTGACAAGTTTTGGAGGACAGGGAGATTGAACAACACTTATTTATTCCCTTGGGTTCCGGGCAGAACATGGGGCTTCAACAGCATATCTCTAATTGTCCTGTTCTCTGCTGTCTTTTTTAGCTGGCGGTACGATTACCCATAAGCTTTCATCTCTTCCTTACACTATCTTCCCCATGTTACCCTCGGGTTCCACTCGGACTGACGTACGATGTCATCCACTGGTCTCTTCAGCGTGTGTTCGATCCATCTCCACTTTCTTTGGATTATTTGTTAAGCAATAGGTTTTTGGTTGGTTGGTTGGTTCATTCTCAGAGTTTCCTATTTCTAATTCTTTCTGATTGACTATCTGATCTTCAGTATATTTTTTAAAATTCAATTTCCTATTGTCACGTCGATTGATTGAACTGAAGTGCTCGGTCTCAGGTTGACATGTCGGCTTCTTGTGCAGATGGTTCGACGATGTCTGGCATGTAATTATAAGTTAGTTGGTGGATGGTGACTAGCAGTGGAATCCAGGATGCGTATTTCGTCCTATTTTGGATTCGTCATTTTCACTGACTGCGGAATGCAGGTACATAACGAGCACTTCGGTCCAGTCAATCGACGGGAAAATCTAAAATTCAGTTAAATAATTAATATGACCCGTCGCACAAGAGGTGACTCTCGTGACCCAATTGGTCTAGTGGATAACACTTTGGCATTTGAAACTATGGGCACTGGTTTTGAGCCTCGGTGGGAACATCATCACTCACTCGGGAATGTAGGTACATCTAGCGGATGAGTCCCAAATAGGACGAAATGCGCGTTACCCTGGATTCCACTGCTAGTCACCACTCACCAATTAACTTCAGTATATTTCCTGAATTATGTTCTTTCACTAACTCAAGTGTGTGAGATAGGCGTTTCATGTATGTATCAGAGTATAAGTCACACCTATTGTGGGGGCGGTTAATATGAAGCGGGACTCGAACCTGGGATCCTCCATCTAACTAGAAGAGGTAGACGAGTAAAGGGGTAGTCGCAATTTCAACAGAAGTCAGTAAACCAATAGATGGATGCAAGTGGGAGAGAGCCAAGTGCTCATAACGTTGAAAGGAAGACGAAAAATTATCCTACCTACCTATTACAGTGTGATCGGTGTATGTTCATAGCCTGGTGATGATGCTGTGGGAATTCCCTTGGGAGCAATGTTTACAGATTGATTCTTGTCAGGTCTAGAAGCCGGTAATTTGTAACAGCATATGCAAACACGGAATTATATCTAACATATGTGGGTGATATTTTTTTATTTTATGTGAAAGCAAATCAAAGGCGGAATCCTTTATCAGTACCCATTATCTTAACTCGTTTTAACATTATTATTATTATTACTATCATAATCAGGTGTGTTCAGATTGTAATGCTTGATGTTTTCAAGTTCTTTTTGTGATTACTTAATGTTTATTTAAGTGATAATATTTCAGCCGTAATTTATCATTATGTTAATTTTCACTTTGCATACCCCTTGCCCCTCCCTTATCTAGTTGAAATTGATTGAAAAACATTCACATCAGTCGTTTTGCATGACTGATTCAATAATAGTTTAGTATACGAGCCCGCCTTGTAACCAGAAGGTCCTGGGTTCGAATCCCGGTGGGTGCGTACTGATGAAGAGTCCCAAACTAGGATGAAACATCTGTGCAGTACTCCCAGGTTTTCCAATGGTCCTCTAACTAATGTCAGCTCATGATGAAATCCTGTAACCAATCAAATCCCTACAAACCAACACTTGAAAATAGTTTATTTACTTATCAGTCTTATATCACCTAGTGTAATTCTAATAGTACATATATATCCCCTGTATGACTGAAGGACTAGTTTCAGCGTAGAATTTCGCACATATGTGCAGCAGTTCGAGTTGCCACACTCCCTCCTTGTAGAACACAAAGCAAGAGAAGAGAGATTCAAAAAACAGATAATAAACAGAAGTGTGATTTAGGGACACAGAATAGTAATATGGAAGGACAGTAGAGTTTCATTGTATATGATAAATCACAAAGAGTGAATCCATCTACGCCAGCCATCAGTGAGAACGATTTCGAGCCATATCACCAATTGTCTCCAGTGAATGGTTCTTAGAATCTCGAGGACGCAACTTGGTGGTCTACACCTCCATACGTGACTGGCTGGCTTAAACTAACCGTTGTGGATTTCATTGACTGACGAGGCCATGTTTTGGATTGACCACCATGCCTAACCTTATATTCCTTCATATCCCTGTATAAGGGGTATTCAGCTGAAGAGTTCTACCATAATTTGGTGAATCGATTAAATCTTGCTTTTATAACTTTTTTTGTGTATTTTCAAGTCATTATTTACATTTGCATAGGTTAGCAGACATTAGAGACTCATTACGATGCTAGTTTTTAGAAATTAAAGGATTCTTCATTGTTGTATATATATGTATATATATATATATATATATATATATATATGTATATATATATATATCATATTGTATCGAACTAAACACCATTAAATATCACATTTATAACTGATTTTTTGTTTTCTCTCTGTAATTTTCTTCTCTGTTCAATGGCAAATTATACATATATAGATAAAGAAGAATTAGAACTTGAAGAAATTCGTAAACATCGATTAGAACATTTCTGTGGTCAATCTACAAATGATACTGATGCTGACGGTGGCAATGACGGTAACGGCGATAATGTGAATGTGTCAACATCCCAGTCGATTGATCAGACTGATTGAAGTCGACGCGCTTGTATTCTTCTTATCTAAATAAGGCGTTTACTTTGTTTTACTTGTATGTACGTGTGTGTGTGTATGACTTCATGAGTTCTATGTGTGGTTGGTTATATATATATATATATATATATATATATATATATATATATATATATACATATGCATAAACATTGTAGAATTCTTAAATAAAGAAATATGAGTGGCTTTTTGTTCACATTTCAGATATTGAATTTATATTTTAATATTGCTTTATCTGCAGTTTAGTGTCAAATTTATTTTATTTATTTATTTTTGTTTTTGGTATTTACACTCACATTTGTGAAATGTGTTGTCAAGTTGGGGAGGGGGGGGCAAAGAAGTGTGGCTTAAAACTTCGTCACGCCTTCTTGTTTTCAAGAATTACATAATTACAGTGGGGATTTCATCACGAACTGACACGCCACTTGAAATTGGTCGATAGCCAAGGACTACTGGACAACTATTCCCCTCCACCCCCTAGTTTGTAACGCTTTTTAATGCTGTTCAGTTTCAGTGTTTAGTTCTCTAGCTGACTTCGGTTTTTGTTGAAGTCTACGTTGAAATTAATTTGTTTATTAGATATATCACACAGTCAAGGAAACAGTATTATTATTTACTGGATGTCGAAGTTTCGGACACAGTCTAGTATTGTTCATGATCATTTCATCAATTATGTAATCATACAACTTCGAAACTTTCCTTTTATAGTTTTCTTTACGCCTTCCTATTTGTCGTAGAAGTAGTAGAAGTTTCTAGATGTCCTATTGGATAGGTGTTGAATCATTCCTATTACACGTTTTTGCAGTTGAATCGATGGATACAGCTTCCATTATCAATCCCTCCCTCCACTCTGTTACATTAGATTTTTAAATTGTCATCTTATCCCATCCTATGTTGTATGGTTTTGCGTAATTGGATGTAATGAGTGCTATAGTTGAACTTTGCTCCAGATTTCTTATCTTATCCGGGTAAATTAATGTAGATTTTGCTAGGTGTTTGTGCTCCGCTAGTCTGACTGACCCTGTTCTATTACTTTCACCTATGTATTTTTGACGTGACAATCATTCTGACAGCGTTTTAGATAAACTAAATTGTTTTGTTTCATTGGCTCCACAGACAGGGTCCTTTAACCGACAAAGTTTGTTTCCAATTGAGTTTGTGAGGAGTTTGAATGCGACTTTTATTCCAGTATTGTTAAGTATTCTCCTTAAGGTGTCCGAGGTTCCTTCTGTGTATGGAAGTACCACTGATGATTTAAATTCCTTACTGTTGATTTTGTCATCATTTTGTGCATTTTTGTCATATATTTCGGCATTATCGTCAAAGCTTCTCTTATATGCTTCACTTCCTATCTTAGATTTTCATTGGTATTGCTAAGTTTTTCTGCTCTATTACTTAAACATTTCACTAATCCTATTTTTACCGACATAGGATGGGATGATCGGAAGTTCAAATATCTGTTTGAATGTGTGGATTTCCTGTAAGCACTAGTGTTTAACTTCCCATTTTCTTTCCTTTTCACGCTACAATCTAACATTGGAACTTCCCCTTATTGACTTTCGAATTCCATAAGTGAATTGAATCTTCTCTACTTCCGAGTTGATGTGTTCTAAGTACAATGAATGTTTCATCTGCATACCTTCCTTCAGCATACTTTTTTGGTGGGGCTGAACGTTTCAATCGTTAAGTTTCCTCACCTATCCATGAATTTATCTGCCATATATGAAAAATAGGAAAGCATAAAGAAAACTATAAAATGAAAGTTTCGAAGTTGTGTGATTATAATTGATGATATGATTATGAACACCAGTACTAGGTTGTGTTCGAAACTTCGTAATCCAGTAAATGATAATACTGTTTCATCACTGTGTGATGTATCTAATAAATAAATTAATGTGGAAGTAAATATTACCACAGTACCCAAGTTGTACACATGTATGACTTTGAAATTAATCGAAATCTTTATAAAATCAAAAAAATTAGAATGACATATCACTTTATCTAGGGGTAGGTAGCATAAACAATTTTACCTTATTTCTTCCCTTCATTTAGGTATTTTTAATGATCTTACATTTATTATTATTATTCCCCCGGGTTCCGACTGGAAAATAGGACTTCTTCAACAGCATATCTCCATTTTTGTCTTGTCCTCTGCAGTCCTCTTTAGCTGTTTTCACGATCGCCCCATAAGCTTTGATTCGCTTACTGCACAATCTCCTCCATGTCGCTCTTGAACCAATACACCTACTCGAGCTGTAGCCTGGCTCGTAATGTTGCCTGACTGTCTCCTTAGCCTGTGTACGACTGATCTCCACTTTCTTTGGGATATTTGCTGAGCGATAGGTTGTTGATTATTTCGTTCCCATAGTGTCTTGCTGCTAATTCTTTCTGACTAGGCATCTAATTTCCAGTATGGAGCCAGAGAATTTGGCAACTGGTTGATAAAAGTCTGAATCAGACTGTTGGAAATGCTTTCCATGACTTACTCGTCACCTTTCTGACCCATATAGAGGAACTGAATAACTTAATATTGTCGCTGACCTAAGGCAATGCTAAACAAAAGAAGTGTGAGTTTACAGTCACCGTGATGATGCAGTTGTGTAAAACTATGAGTCATGATTAATTGCTCGCCGCTTAGAAAAAGCACCATTTTTATTGAATCCTAACCTATATGCTACTAGTTGAGTTGTGATCTGCCCGGGGTCCACCAGCAAGTCGGCTGTGAGGACAAATATTTGCTGATGACTGGCTGGCGGTCGCGACATATTCCTAACTGCCAGAAGTTAGAATTAATGATGCGCCTTTTTGGGTTCCATCCCAGTGGCTCAATGGTCAACGAGCTCGCCTTGTAACCTGGAGATTCTGTGTTCGATCCCTGTTCGGGGTGGGTGCATACTGCTGGAGAGGAGCAGAAAGAATGAAATGGCTTCTCAGTACTTCGTAGTCTTGAGTTCATGAGTATTCTTGAAATAAATTATTTTAATTTGTATTTCCCATTGACTGATTATGTTGGGTAGGAAATTCTCGGTATCATTTCGATATGTCGGCTCCTGTTGCGACGCTTTGACGATATCTAGAAGTGTTACATGGTTAATGGTTTCTAGTAATGGAATCCAGGTTGCGCATTTTGACCTGACTGGGAGTTATGATAGTGTTGCCACTGAAAATGGAAATCAGAACTCATCGTTTCAAACTTCAAAGCGTCCCAAATGGGATGGAATGCGTATCCTAGATTCCACTAGTATCCACCATCAAACAAATAACAAATTGTTTTCAGGTGTTGGTTTGTAGGGGTTTGATTGGTTACAGGAATTCATCATGAGCTGACATTAGTTAGAGAACCATTGGATCAGGTCCCAGTGGCTCAATGGTCTACGAGCTCGCCTTCTAACCAGAAGGTCCTGGGTTCGAATCCCGGTGGGTGCATATTGATGAAGAGTCCCAAACTAGGACGAAACAGCTGTGCAGTACTCCCAGGTTTTCCAATGGTTCTCTAACTAATGTCAGCTCATGATGAATTCCTGTAACAAATTGTTCATTTGATTTCATCCCCAGCTATCGATCGGATAAACATATATAACACAAGGCATACGATTACCAAAAAATGTTCCAAATGAACACAATCCATATCAGCACATCTATGCAATGTAGTATGGTTTGTGGTTACTGAGTTGCATATTATGGGATTCTACACTAACAAAAGATTTGTGTTTTTTTCGCTTCTAGTCTAACAGTCATCTGATTAAGTTAGGTGGGAAATAGAATTGGTTACTTTGTGACGTGGTCTTGTTAGTAAATAGGTGACTGGTTTGAGCACCCTCATCTTTCAGCCTTTGTGCCACGGTTTCGAATCGCATGTCATCTGCTTCAGTTTGTATAACTAGGCACGATCATGAACGATAATACATAACATATTACAGACAAAAATATCTGTGTCGGGTAACAGTTAAACTATTACACCTTACTAAATATTGTGTGAGTATGGTTAGTGAGTCGTTTGTGAAGTTGTTCACTAGGATGAAGTATGGTGAAAGGAAATAGGACTACGGAAAGTTGACTTTCGGAGTAAAAAATGAAGATACTTTTTGGCATTTGTCGGTGGCATAGCGGTTAGGACCAAGAATATGGTCCAGGGTTCGACCCCTTGTCGACACACATCTGATATCAATGATGGGCCTGCTAAGTTTGGGCTACAGATAACACATACTGAAAATTCCATACTTGTATCAAAAACACTGTGTGGAATAAGGCTATAATAAAATAAATAAATTCTGAACAGAACGTTGCTAATTTATTGTGTATTCATTACCGCCACAGTAACATGAAAGTAAAATTTTGTCTTCAGTTTTCCAGACACGGTAATGAACTGGAAACATTTATTTTCCGATACGAATTTAAAACAAGAAACAAAGGTTAATAAAGCAGGATTTAATGAATTCATCAAATTTTGGCAGAACTCTTCAGCTGAATACTGTACATACAGGGTTATATGTATGTACTATTGGAAATACACATTGGGAGATATAAGACTGATAAGCAAGTAAACTATATTGAATTAATCATGCAAAACGACGCGTGTGAATATTTTTCAGGTTATGTTCAAATAGATAAGGGGAGAGGGAGTATGAGAGACCATGAACCACTAGTCATTAAAGAAAGAACCTAAGTATTTCTTCAATTCCTTGTAATCGGAAGGTCTTGGATTCGGAACCCACTGTGCGTGTACTGATGATGATTCCCAAACTAGGATGAAACAGCTGTCCAGTACTCGTTGCTGGCTTTCAATGGTTCTCTAACTGATATCAATCCGTGGTCAAAGCCGAAAAAATATCTAGAATTACGAAATGAGTATTAGTAGTAGTAATAGTTGTAATAATGTTGCTGAAAAGAGTTAAGATAATTCTACTGATAAAAAGTAGTTTCAAATGAATCAGGAAGTGTTAATAATAAAAATAATAGTAACTATTAAGTAAAACAAATTTCCATGTTGGATTCAGAGTGACCACCATTTCCTTCTAATTGAACAAGCCTCCGCAATTGCAAGCATCTTCCTGTCTGCTGACAACAATGAATGACTTGACAGCGTCATG